CAGAACGCGTGCGCGAGAACTGAGACGAGGACGTTCTTCTTCGTCTGCTTCTTGTTTCCGGCTGCTCACCGCTCAGGAGTATTAGTGCCCCCTACCGTATAAGATGATGATCCATATATAAGGCGCTCCGGATTATAAGGCGCACAGCACTGTCGTATTTGAGAAGATTAAAGGCTTTTAATCATGGACTGAATCATGTAGTGTGTGTGTGTGTGTGTGTGCCTCAAACATGCGCATGTCTCGCCTTTAAACAGTTTCATGGCATTTCCACTCGAGTCCCTGTAATGTTGAGATTATACGGATCATGTTTGTGAGGCTCATATGCTCTTCTGTTCTGCCAGTGACTAACACTCCCAGAAGCCTCTTCTCTGAGCCGTGAGATGTGCATGTGGGTGTTGGGACAGAAATAACTGATAATAATCATGTTGTCTGAGTCTCATCATCCGTCTGGTGCTTTACACTGAGAGCCGCCTCCAGAAACACTGGAGATCTGAAGATCATCTGGAGCTCCTCATGTAATAACACAACACTTCTCATAACCAGGAACATGAGCTGATTCCTCTAGTTCCCTCCACAATCACAGGTGTATCTTTAGTAACATTATAAACGTCACACATCAGTTTAATGCGTCCTTGATGAACACAAGCAATCTTAGCCCAGAGTTTACAATGATATATTAATCACAAGCTAATAGATATCCGTAAACTGACTTTATAGAAGGAAAACTATAGGAAGCGTGTGTGTGTGTGTGTGTGTGTGTGTGTGTGTGTGTTCAGGAAAGGCGAGTCGTCAGTGTTCAGGGCTCATACGGGGACGGTGCGCAGCGTGAGCTTCTCCAGTGATGGTCAGACACTGGTCACCGCGTCTGATGATAAGAGCATCAAAGTCTGGACCGTCCATCGCCAGAAGTTCCTCTTCTCCCTCAACCAGCACATCAACTGGGTGCGCTGCGCCAGGTACTGCTCACTAATCACTAATCACTGTTCACTAATCACTGTTCACTAATCACTAATCACTGGTCACTAATCACTAATCACTGTTCACTAATCACTAATCACTGTTCACTAATCACTGTTCACTAATCACTAATCACTAATCACTAATCACTAATCACTGTTCACTAATCACTAATCACTGTTCACTAATCACTGTTCACTAATCACTGTTCACTAATCACTGTTCACTAATCACTGTTCACTAATCACTGGTCACTAATCACTAATCACTGTTCACTAATCACTGTTCACTAATCACTGTTCACTAATCACTGGTCACTGTTCACTAATCACTGGTCACTAATCACTAATCACTGGTCACTAATAGGGATGGCTCAATACCACAATATTTTGCTTCGTTACGATACCAGAACATAATACCTCAGTATCGATGCTAAATCGATGCCACAGTCGGGGAAAAGTCTCAATTTTAGTGAATTGAAACAATTTTATTGAACACTGCTTCAAACTCTCCACTTTGTGCAAAGAAAAGTATCAATAAAACAAAAACATATCAATGTAAAAAATAAATAAATTCAATCAAGGAACATACAACATTTAGATTTTGAAAAAAAAAAATACAATTAAAATAGGTTGATTATCTATAATAGATTAACATATAATATTAATAATTATCGAATAATAAAAATATGATTTGTGCATTTTAAAACGAGAGTCACGCCGTGAAAAATGCTTTTTATATTGATTTTAGACCAATTATCACTGTAGGGTCTCATCTTCTATTAGCAAACATTAGGAATATACGTGATCTGAAATGATTTAATGTGATCTGTTCTGCTGTGATCTGACTGACGTGTTCTGCCGTGTTCTAGCGTGTTCTAGCGTGTTCTGCCGTGTTCTAGCGTGTTTTTTTCTGGTGTGCTGCTGACTAGTGTCGTACGACTCCTTCAGGTTTTCCCCTGACGGGCGTCTGATCGTGTCTGCCAGCGATGACAGAACAGTGAAGCTGTGGGATAAGAACAGCAGAGAGTGTGTTCACTCGTTCTGTGATCACAGCGGGTGAGTGAGCACACACACACACACACACACACACACACACACACACTCAGGCTCCTCTGCTTGTGTTCAGGTATGTCAACACCGTGGCGTTTCACCCGAGTGGCACCTGTGTGGCAGCGGCTGGCACAGACAACACAGTGAAGGTGTGGGACATTCGCTCACACAGACTCCTGCAGCACTATCAGGGTGAGACGGACCAATGCTTTAGAAACACTTTGCAAAAAGTCTCAGTTAACGTTGGTTAATGCCTTAAAGGATTAATTGACTTCAGAATAAAAATTTCCTGATAATTTACTCTCCCCACGTCATCCAAGATGTTCAAGTCTTTCTTTCTTCAGTGGAAAAGAAATGAAGGTTTTTGAACAACATTGCGGGATTGTTTCTAAATGTAGTGTCTTCAATGGGGTCCAACGGGTCGAAGGGTCAGATGTGAGTTTCAGTGCCGCTTCAGAGTCTCGATCCCAGCCGAGGAATAAGAGTCTGATCTAAACAAACCAGCGGACATTTTATAACAAAATAAACATTTATGAGCTGCTGATGGCTGTAATGTCTGCCGTCGCCTGCGGGGGGCGTGAGCTCAGAGAGAATATAACATAGAAGAGCTCATAATGCCACAGCTGCAGATGCACACTGAACCAATGACAACACTAATGATAAAATTATATCAAATTTAGCAAACTCACCAAAAAAATTATCTTTACAATATAGTTAAAAGTAAATTCATTCACATTGTTATATATTACTTTAAAATATTTTATCATAATTACTTCTGCTTATTTTTATAAAAAAAAAACTTTAGAACTTTACAACATACAAAAAAAAGTAAGGTCAATGACAAGACAAGGTTTGTTAGATTGTCAAACCTCATGTGGTGCTCCTCAAAGATGTAGAAATATTTGTGAATTTTTAATAATTCATGATATTTTTTGCAACAACAAGAAAAAAAGAAACCTTGGAAACACAATTCTATACATTAAACTGGGTTTGGTTGCAGTGAAAAAACATGTTTTGTGCTGAAACATTTTAGTTGTTGAAAACCGTCAAATTAAAGTTTTAAAATGGAGTCTGTTTTTACGGTTTATATGTTTTATGTAGTTGTGTTTGTGTGTGTGTTTCAGTTCATAGTGCAGCGGTCAACGACCTCTCCTTCCATCCTTCTGGAAACTTCCTCATCTCAGCCTCCAGTGACTCCACACTCAAGATCCTGGACCTGCTGGAGGGCCGGCTGCTCTACACACTGCACGGCCATCAGGTACACACAGCTGACCCCTGACCTCTGACCCCGACCTTAACCCTGACCTCTGACCCTGACCTCCAGTGACTTCACACTCAAGATCCTGGACCTGCTGGAGGGCCGGCTGCTCTACACACTGCACGGCCATCAGGTACACACAGCTGACCTCTGACCCCGACCTTAACCCTGACCTCTGACCCTGACCTCCAGTGACTCCACACTCAAGATCCTGGACCTGCTGGAGGGCCGGCTGCTCTACACACTGCACGGCCATCAGGTACACACAGCTGACCCCTGACCTCTGACCCCGACCTTAACCCTGACCTCCAGTGACGCCACACTCAAGATCCTGACCTCTGACCCTCCACTCTCACTCCAGAACCTATGCGCTGAAGACAGAGTCTCGGATATGAACTCTGACCTGACGACTGCTTCGTATGTTCGGACGACCCCCGTGATGCCCTAAATCACACATGACCTCTGCATCATTACCTGATGTCTACTTTAGTGTTCAGGAGGCGGTAGAGCAGGGCTAATGCAGCGCTCGGGTTGTTCTGCACATGATCTGTGTGTTCGGCAGGTGTTGTGTTTTCCCTTCAGCGGAGCGCCGGATAAATCAATCCAGTATCAAAGCGCACGCCTACAGACTGAAGATGAGTCATGTTAGCGCTCAGACCTGAACGCCTGCTAGCGTCAGTGGGATGAGCGTGTGACCTCTGTCGGCCTTCATCACCCTGCATGTCCATATTCAATTATTACTTCGGCTTCTTTTCATGAATGAACTTTAAACATCAACAAACAAACACACATTACTATGTTTTATTATTATTCCAGTGCAAACATCTCGGGCTCTCTAAAAACATTCAATGATGGCACAAAACGGAAAAGTAGCCTATTACGTAAAAAAAACTTAAATGGGATATTGGAAAATAAAAAACTACCATTTTAGTAGAACAAATCATATCTGTATGTCTGTATTACAGACTCTAATATTTAATGAACCAACATGCACAACCTTAGTTTTTCTGCTTGTATTCAGTAATGAACTTTTAACAGACGTATATATATATATATATATATATATATATACGGGCTCTGCTAGAAATGTTTTAGTTTTATCATAGCCACTAGTTATGCTATTTCGTCTCTACGACAAACGCGTACAAACATTTTGGACCTGAATTTGTATATGTACTAATGTTGTAAATGTGAGGATCGTGATTAGCATTAGTGCGGTCGCTCATCAGATGAAACAAGCTTAGCCTTGACTCGTTCCTGCAGTCAGCATGAGTCTGTCTCTCTGGAAGCTGGCATTGGCCGGAGGAGGTCAGCGCGCTAGTGTGTGTGTGTGTGTGTGTGCGTGCGATGGCGTTCGGTGCGGCTCTAGTCAGCATCAGTGTATCCCGCACGTGTGCTGTGCAGTTCTTATCCATATTTCTAACACGCAGTCGAGCGTGACACTCAACACACCTCATCAGTGGAGATATGTCATGTGTTCTAGCTCACGCACACCTGCTGCTGCTAACGAAGCCCTTGATTAGTGAGACGACCCCTGTTCTGCAGATCTGTGCTGAGACTGCAGAACATGAACACACGTTTATAAGAGTGGTCAGTTTGAAGTCTTCTACGCTGAAGAAAGCCCAAATGATCTCTCTCTGGGTTTGGCACATGCACAGATGCAAATTTAACGAATTGTTCAAAGATATTTATCTTCTAAGAGTGCCGAGAAAGCAGGTGTCATGCGTCGATATGAAACCGCTTCTCAAACACACACAATCATTATAATGGAATAATCTTCAGTTTTCACAGGAGTGCTGGATTACAGTTCACAAACACTGAATCTGCTGATTCTAGGTCCAGATTTTGGCTATAAAATATTTTTTATATATATTCTTAATTTTTTTTCTTGTAAATGTGCTTGTGTACTGCTGTTTCTTGCATTGAAACGCTGGAGGTGAGCGTTAGATGGCGCTGTGAGTGTGTGTGACGTGTGTGTGTGTGTGTGTGTGCTGATGGAGTCTACTCTGCATATTTAGCATGTGTTCCAGCAGATGCTGCTGCAGTCGAGTGTGTCTCGGAGCATGTGCGCACACGTGTGTGTGTGTGTGTTACAGACTCGTCCAGTCCACATTCCTCGTGCTCATCTGACGCTTCAGGCTGAGACACTATCGGCCGTGCACACCTGCACTCAACACACAGTACTCGGATGATTACATTCATTTTTCAGACTGATCTCATGAAGTAGCGTGTGTATGACACGCCAATTCGTATTTCCATTTTTGGCGTGCTATCAAGACGCATAATTGCTTTTTAGCGTGTTTATGAACGCCGTTGACTTAACGTTATTACTGTATATATAAATATATGACTTCCCTCAACCCCGCCCCTAACCCTAACCCTACCCGTCACTGGGGTTAATGGCATTTATGACTGATCCCTCACCATCCTAGGAAAGAAAAGATCGATCCCCAGATGTAGATCTACATTTTGCTTTGTTTTGCGCAGACATTTGACGTGTACAGACACGCGGAATCACTCCGACGTTAATGGCGTAGACATACACGCGGATACACGCGGATAGCTCAAAATGCGTAGAGATAACACGCCACTTGACTCAAAATTGGCGTATATGTTTACGCAAAAGTCATGATGTCATGTTGTATTTTTGGATGTTTCTTCCAGTAGCTGTGATGTGTTTCTCTATGAAACCTGATTTGCAGTCTTTGTTGTGTTTATCGTAGCCTAGAATAATTTAGATTACAGCCGTATGTTCAGGACGCAGCCTGTCGTGTTTAAGGTCATTGGTGCATCAGTCGCTTGTCTAATATACATCTCGGGAAATCTAGAACTATACATCAAAAACAGCATGTGCACTTCAGGACCTTCACTGAGACTCACACACACACTCACACACACACACACACACACACACACACACACACACACTAGTGAATCCAGCGAGTGGACACTTGACATCAACTGTGTTGCACTCCAAAACCCTTACACTCCATGTGCACAGGATACGTGTGTGTGTGTGTGTGTGTGTGAGAGAGAGAGAGAGAGAGAGAGAGTGAGTGAGAGTGTGTGTGAGCGTGTGTTGAGTGAGTGAGTGTGTGTGTGGTTTGGTTTTGTGTCCGTGTCTGGTCTAAGGTCAGCTCATGTTCAGCCTATATTTACCCTGCTCTCTTCAGCCAAAGTCGATACGGCTCCGTGACGCTGTAATTCCCTCCTGCAGTCGGCCGAGGGTTTCTTCTGAGAGTCGTGTGTGTATAGAAGGAAACAACTGGTGCCCTCCAGATTACAGTGCAGAATAAAGCCGTTTGTGTCCGCCTGAAGGAGATGATTAGACCAATGTCCAAGCTCCTGTTTTATGAATAAGACAAGCAAACCACAGTGAAATATACAGCTATATGTCTATAGCGAGGCTCTGAGCAGTAATTATTGACGAGACTCACAGGAGACTGAAGCAGAACAGCTGGCAGGTTTATTACACAGTCACTGTGCAACACACTATTCACATAATTATTTTCTCTTACATTAGAAAATACCCCCAAATAAAATAGAGCTCTTTCATTTGGAAAAAAAAAAAAAACTAGGAAAACAAAATAAATTGTCCTTGGGAAAACAGAAAGTCACTCTCCCCGGGTAGTAAACCAAAACACATTCAAGTTTCCTAATCTGAAATCCCTGAAATCCAATCTCCGAGGTCTGGATACGGATCCGCTCAGAGACTCCCACACCGCCGGCCACACTCGTCCGAACGCTCCTCCCGCAGGCTCGCCATCCAACGCCTGTGCTCTCCAGGATAAAAAACATCTGCACACACAGCAGTACAGAATAGATCAAAAACAATAGGCTTTATGCACAACTTACTTCCGCATTCTCTGTAAAACAGGTCGCATCGCTTCCGGTCCAGGTCTTTTGTATGTGCTTCATGAAATTTGTTTGCGGTTTTACTCAAGATAACTTAAAAGGAGCGAACAAAGATTAGCAAAACAATATCCCTCACATGTGCAGATTGATATTTAAACGTTTTATATTTTTTATTCTTCACTGCAACGTTTAGATATTTAAATGTAATAAAACGCCAATAACAAAGTGAACTAGTTAGGTTAGCTGATTACCTTAAAGGTGCAATACCTAAGATCTAGATGCCGCTAGAGGGCGCTACATTCAAAACAACAACAACGGCTTTGCTTGATGACGCCGTGGAGGAACGCGGAATGATGGGAACTGTTGTTTTCAACTCCACCGTGGATAAATCAGTCAGACGGGAATCGAAAATTAGTTGTCATGGATGAGGTAAAGTTCGATTTCTATAAACGTTGCGTTTAATGACATGCTTGTATTTCATTAAACTGAAATAACCGTGCAAGAAAAGTCAGGTTTAAAAGTAAATTAGTTATCACAGATGTTACTGTACGAGTCACTGGACGAAGCTATGGTGGAGAGGGTTTGAAGGGGCAGGTCTCTCGCAAGGAGTTGACGTGGTTGGCCCTCCTTGGTAACTTTATAAAAATAAAAAATCAATTTAATGTCAGTAATATAGGTATATTTCGATAACAAGATTGTGGGGGTGGGAGGGAAGGCTAACTTTCGCGTTCGCGAGGCACAAACGCAAAGTCTCTCCCTCTGTACAGTGCACGCGCAGCGCGCTGTATGTTATGCGCGCAGTATGTCTCGCTCTAACATTATATCCCGGGAGATTTGAACTAATTTGCGGGCATCAGGGAAACGCTATCAATATGCGGGAGATCCGGGAGACTTGGGATGTCTGCAATGTACATTTGACACATCTTTTCATGTCGTGTAAGTATTCAACCACAGCTACAGTTTCACAAAATTAACGTTAAGGGGGTCGCACACCGGACGAGAAGCTGCAGCTTCGCGTTGCACCACATAATTATTCGAACACATTATTATCTATAAGTGTACACATACCGGCGGCGCCATTCGGCGTCTGTCCGCGGCGCCCAGCAACGTTTCAGGACCGTGTTCAAAACCCTGCTGCGCCACAGAGCGCCATTTACATAGTTTTATATAAAATTGTAATTATTTTTGCCTCAAACCGTTGCTAATGGATCCTGACTTTGCCCTATGCTGCAATATCTATGCATTTAGTTTTGCAGTCATTTACAGAAATCAGCTGCTTGAATGACAATTACTGATTATTATTAGATTTTTCACGTGAGATTCTCAATTCATTCTGTGAACGGATGCTCTGAGGTAAAGTTTTCAGAATGCAGACTCAGCAACGATTGTATTTAATTGTACAGTACAATAACATAGAACAGACATTATCTTCATTTTCTGTCATTAAACATAACAATATTGCTGGCCATACACTGATGAGAAAGTGCGCGTCCGGTGTTCGATAACGTTACTGGAGTTGTCCTAAACGTGACGCGGCGCTTCTCGTCCGGTGTGCGACCCCCTTTACAGCCAACAGTTCACATTCCGAGAATAAATGAAAAGAATATATGTGCTCCATTCCATAACAAATGCGCGAAACAAGCTGCCGTTTGATAGGCGCTAACGCACAACTACAACTACCGCATTTGTCCAGGACTACACGTAGTAAGAGCGGAAACCGAGGTAAGCGGATATGACGCGATTGACTCGCGACTCCCAGCTCACCCCTGCTGACACGTGCCGTTTCCTTGGTTAAAATCTCAATTTTCTCGCGATTTAAACATTGTTTGAAACATTTGGAATATTGTGAGTTATCATCTTTACTAAATATATAACACTGGCCTTGTGATTTTGGGATATTTTAATGCAAAAATCTTAGGTATTGCACCTTTAAATATCCATAGATATCGTAATCAGTTCTTACGCCCGTTAACACTTTCTCTGACAAGCGGATGCGATGAGACCCGTTTTCCAGTTTGGTCACGTGACGCACGGCATAAAGCCTATTACAATTCTTTAGTGCAATATAAACATCCTACAATACCCTCGAGTCTCATGTCACTCCGTTTGGTTTTATTATAATAGCATGAGATCTTAAAACCTAATGTTTTTCACTGATAACATCACCTGTTGTTAGCTAGCAATATGACACGCTAATGAGCCCATTGAGACAACAGAAACTCAGCGGAGGTTTCGGCAGAAAACACGAAGAACAACAGAAAAATGTCTCCCACAATGCAGTCCTCGGGTTAGGGTTAGGGTCCTCGGGTTACCAGTAAAAGATTATCTTATCCACTCAACTCCTGATTAGAACTGACTAGATGTCTCTGTTTTTCGATCTATTTTCGCCACGTGAACTAGAGCTTTTTCCTAATGCAGCTGGAAACAGAGGTGAATCCCCAATGACCAATATAAAAAACAGTGCTAGCGCGCCCTCTACTGGCATCATGACACTCGACTAGTTAACCCTTGAGTGACAGCATATATTCTATATGGGTTACACACTACTTTGAGAAGCATCATTTATATTCTTCGTTACTAACCGTCTCATAATGATTGTGTTTTTAGGGTCCTGCCACCTGTGTGAGCTTCTCCAGGGCCGGAGACTTCTTCGCCTCTGCTGGCTCTGATCAACAGGTAATGCTCTGCTGTATGATCACAGAGAAGTGTGTGTGTGTCCAGTACACAGTGCTCATCATGTGACCTGTTCTCATCATGTGACCTGTTGCAGGTGATGGTGTGGAGGACGAACTTCGACAGTGTGGATTACAGTGCCGTGCTGGAGCAGAGATGTGCAGCGGACTCCATCGCTTCGGTTCACAGCGGCCCATTTACACAGGTAAACGCATCACCGCACCGTCACCACATCACTACGTCATCACCACATCATCATCACTACATCACCACATCATCACCACATCACTACATCATCACCACATCATCAACACTACATCACCACCGCATCATCATCACTACATCAACACATCATCACCACATCACTACATCATCACCACATCATCAACACTACATCACCACCGCATCATCATCACTACATCAACACATCATCACCACATCACTACATCATCACCACATCATCATCACTACATCACCACCGCATCACCACCACATCACCACCACATCATCACCACATCATCACCACATCACTACGTCATCACCACATCATCATCACTACATCACCACCGCATCATCATCACTACATCACCACATCATCACCACATCACTACATCATCACCACATCATCATCACTACATCACCACCACATCACCACCACATCATCACCGCATCATCACCACATCATCATCACTACATCACCACCGCATCACCACCACATCATCACCACATCATCATCACTACATCATCACCACATCATCAACACTACATCACCACATCATCATCACTACATCACCACCGCATCACCACCGCATCACCACCACATCATCACCACATCACTACATCATCACCACATCATCATCACTACATCACCACCGCATCACCACCACATCATCACCACATCATCAACACTACATCACCACATCATCACCACATCATCATCACTACATCACCACTGCATCACCACCGCATCACCACCACATCATCACCACATCATCACCACATCATCATCACTACATCACCACTGCATCACCACCGCATCACCACCACATCATCACCACATCATCACTACATCACCACCGCATCACCACCACATCATCACCACATCATCAACACTACAGGTGTGTTCGACATCGCCTGCGGCTGGATGCAACCGATCGGCGAGAACAGCCGCGTGCAGGCGGGGAGGAGCTGCAAACGGAGACGTGAAGTCGGACAATTTCTGGTTCCCGTAGTGACGGCTCACGTGGTGTTTGCATGCTTATACCACAGCTGAAGTGAAATAAGTGCAACATTTGCCAAATAAACAGATATTTCAGATATTTCAGACACATTTTCATTCAATACTTTACTGCTTCATACAGCATCTGTTTGAACTAGAATAAAGTTCAAAATAAGCCTATAATCAATGACGTGGAATCCACGTTTTTGAATCAGTTTTATTTTGAGAAACATGATAAACATGACACAATATAACATTGCGACTACATGAAAAGAGTGTTTACTGTTATAAAATACTGATTAGTGGAACTAAACGTGTGAGAATAAACACGAAACGCACGTGATCGTTGTCATGCGGTGAATCCGGCGAATCGTGGAACAGCTGTGACATCATCAGAGCTCGTGCAGCCACTCTTGAGAAGCTGCGCTGGCTGAGTCCTCCGGCTACTCTCGTATTGCTCTCGCGGTACTTTGATGGCATATGTCACAGTCACGTGGAGTCAGCGCTGCATCAAGTCGGACAAAATTTCTAACCGGCATGCACTGTTTAAAGTCAGCCGCCGATCGGTCTGCGCAGAGCTGCATGAAGTCGAACAAGCCTTACATCACCACATCATCACCACATCATCATCACTACATCACCACTGCATCACCACCGCATCACACCACATCATCACCGCATCATCACCACATCACTACATCATCACCACATCATCATCACTACATCACCACCGCATCACCACCACATCACCACCACATCACCACCACATCACCACCACATCATCACCACATCACTACATCATCACCACATCATCACCACATCAACACTACATCACCACATCATCACCACATCATCATCACTACATCACCATTGCATCACCACCGCATCACCACCACATCATCACCGCATCATCACCACATCATCATCACTACATCACCACTGCATCACCACCGCATCACCACCACATCATCACCGCATCATCACCACATCACTACATCATCACCACATCATCATCACTACATCACCACCACATCACCACCACATCATCACCACATCATCACCACATCAACACTACATCACCACATCATCACCACATCAACACTACATCACCACATCATCATCACTACATCACCACTGCATCACCACCACATCACCACCACATCATCACCGCATCATCACCACATCACCACATCATCACCACATCATCACCACATCATCACCACATCACTACATCATCACCACATCATCATTATCATCACTATTTATTTGGTGCTTTGTTCAAGCATCTCAAACCATTATTTTATTTGTATTATTAAGATGTCTGCACAAGAGTTGACACTAAAATTAGCTGAAATTAATCATCTCGTTTTTGTCTACACTGGAAGTGTTCTGTTAGCTCTGCTAATCTATAATCACTAAAACTCAAACTAAATAAAATAAAAACTAAATAGAAATATAAAATAACATGACAATATAAAAACTAAACTAAAACTTACAATACCATTAATGAAACTAACTAAAACTAAACTTTGAAATTTAAAGCAAAATTGAAAATGATATTAAAATAAAAACTAATTTAAAAAAGCAAAACTATAATAACCTTGTGAGGAGAACCTGTTTACCATGAATGAGGAGAACCTCCCGGTGGTGAACGTGGAGCAACTTCCGACGGTGAACAAAGAGAACCTCCGGACCGTGAACGAGGAGAACCTCCCATCCCGACGGTGAACGAGGAGAACCTCCCGACGGTGAACGCGGAGCACCTCCCGACGGTGAACAAAGAGAACCTCTCGACCGTCAAGTCAAGTCAAGTCACCTTTATTTATATAGCGCTTTTCACAATACAGATTGTATCAAAGCAGCTTCACAGTGATAACATGTAAGTAGCACAACACAGATCAACAACATTGCTAAACACTAAATAAATAACCCCAACTGAGCAAGCTCAAAGCAAGCCAAAAGCAAGGCGACAGTGGCAAGGAACCAAACTCCATCAGATTGGATGGAGAAAAAACCTTGGGAGAACCCAGGCTCAGTCGGGGGCCAGTTCTCCTCTGGCTTACATTCATATTGTTTAAATATAAATATTAAATATAAATATTGTTTATGAATCAAACGGCGCCATAACATATCGCAGGCGTTGAGTCGTCTCATCACAGGCGTTGAGTCGTCTCATCACAGGCGTTGGGGCATCCGAAATCCCCGTGAGAGGCTGGACACAAAACTGGACCTGACGAACGCCGTTTTTCTCGGGACAAGCGTCCCGAGATAACAGCAGAAAGGCAGATGGGAAATAATTAGCATAGCTGATGTTCATAATAATTTCCGTTATAACTCACAAACTCTCCGTAACCCGAACTCTCCGCAACCCAACCATACGCGCCGACCCGTTTGTCTAAGAGGCTGTCGAGCCCCACTGGTGCGTTAAGCAGTTTCAGTGGCAAACGGTTCCGTATGGCATAACAGAGGACTAGAAGGTAAGCATTATGTGAATGCTTGACTAAAGAGATGCGTCTTTAATCTAGTTTTAAACTGTGTCAGCGAGTCAGAGGCTCGGACCGTATCGGGAAGGCCATTCCAGAGTTTTGGAGCTAAATGCGAGAACGCCCTCCCTCCTTTACTGGACCGTGAATGAGGAGAACCTCTCGACCGTGAACAAAGAGAACCTCTCGACCGTGAATGAGGAGAACCTCTCGACCGTGAATGAGGAGAACCTCCCATCCTGACGGTGAACGCGGAGAACCTCCCGACGGTGAACAAAGAGAACCTCTCGACCGTGAATGAAGAGAACCTCCCATCCTGACAGTGAACGAGGAGAACCTCCCGACCGTGAATGGAGAGAACCTCTCATCCTGACAGTGAACGAGGAGAACCTCCCGACGATTGAACAAAGAGAACCTCTCGACCGTGAATGGAGAGAACCTCCCATCCTGACAGTGAACGAGGAGAACCTCCCGACGGTGAACAAAGAGAACCTCTCGACCGTGAACGAAGAGAACTTCCCGATGGTGAACAAAGAGAACCTCCCATCCTGACAGTGAATGAGGAGAACCTCCCATCCCAACGGTGAACGAGGAGAACCTCCCGACGGTGAACAAAGAGAACCTCTCGACCGTGAACGAAGAGAACCTCCCGATGGTGAACAAAGAGAACCTCCCATCCTGACAGTGAATGAGGAGAACCTCTCGACCGTGAACAAAGAGAACCTCTCGACCGTGAATGAGGAGAACCTCTCGACCGTGAATGAGGAGAACCTCCCATCCTGACGGTGAACGCGGAGAACCTTCCGACGGTGAACAAAGAGAACCTCCCATCCTGACAGTGAACAAGGAGAACCTCCCGATGGTGAACAAAGAGAACCTCCCGATGGTGAACGAGGAGAACCTCTCGACTGTGAATGAGGAGAACCTCCCGATGGTGAACAAAGAGAACCTCTCGACCGTGTAAGAGGAGAACCTCCCGGTGGTGAACGAGGAGAACCTCCTGATGGTGAACAAAGAGAATACACATGTTATGTATTTGACAGTTAAGCACAAAACTCACTTTATTTTGATGCATTTTTCAGAAAACAAGATGTAATATCTTCAGTCATTTTTCTTCTTCTCCAGTAAATGCATTTTGATTTTGAAGAATTATCAGATATTTGTACTTAAAACGAGATAGAAACATCATTATTAGCAGTGGTTGTGCTGGTATCTAGTATCTAGTAGTGATGAAGATCATAACGGCAGTGATAATCTCAGTTACGACGACAGCATCACATAAAACTAATAAACACCCTGATCAATAACAGTCAAATCAACAGTATTGAATGAAGTCAGTGTGTTACTCTTGATGTAGATGCAGAGGCTTCTGGGAACACTACTAAATATTCACTGAACCATCTGAACGAACGATTCTCTGAGGTGAATCATTCTTCCCATGCTACTGCACAACTCCTGCAACTTTCTTCTGCTTCTAATGGCCATAGATTATCCATCTAATCT